CATTCCCCTTTGATGGACTTTCAAGTTGTTTCCATTTTTCTGCAACCACAGGCCATGTTGCAGTAAACTTCTTATACTGATATTCTTATATCTCAGTGCTTTCAGTTCTTTGAGACAGTCTTTGAAGTAGGACTGCTAGGTTAAAAGGTCCATCTAAAAATTTTAATCAGTATGGCCAGATTACCTTCTACAAAGATTGGAACAACCCACATTCCCACCAACAATAACGTATTCAAGTTTTCATTTACCCTAATTCCTGCCAATGCTGGAGGTCACTGCTCTTCTAATTTTGCCATTAAGTGACCAATGGTACCTTGTTGTTGCTTCGATTTACATCTCACTGATCACATGTACACTTGATCCTCTTTCATATGCTTATTAAAATGTAGAAGAGCACAATGCTTCAGAGCACAGACTCTGGAGTCAGAATACCTGAGTTTGAGTCATAGCTCAAGATGTGTGACCCTCTATTGTGTGACTTGGGCAAGTTACTTTATTTCTCTGAGCCTGTTTCCTTAGCTATAAGACAGGAATATTACCTATCTCATAGGGTAGGTTGTAAGGATTAAATAATACTTGTAAAGCGCCTGAAATAATGTCTAGCACAGAAGAAGCACTAAATAGTTAGTGATTATTACTGTTGATCTTTTAGATTTCTTTTCAGTTATCTATTGGGGTGACTATTTTGTAGTTATCAATTTGTAGGAGCTCTTTGTATATTAGGGATATTAATCCTGAATCTGTCACTTACATTGTAAATATTTCCCTAGTCTATCCAGTCTTTTACAGAACCAAGATTTATTTCCCCAAAATTTGTTTTATGTAGTCAAATATGTCTGTAATTTTTTTATGCCTTCTGGGCTTCCCATTTTGCTTATGATCTCCTAAGATTATAAAAATGGTCTCCTAAAAATTCTTCCAATATTTCACTTTAACATTTAAATTTGTATCCTCCAGGTATTTATTTCTGTGTATGTTGTGAGGTGGGGATTTGGCTGCTCTCTAGGCACCTCACTATAGTTCTATTTGTATAGTAGTCACACATAGCAGATTTAATTTAGAAACTTCATGGGAAGAGAAAATTGAAAGAAAATAAATTATAGTATTCACAGCAATAGGTAATTGAGTAGTTCTGAATTATCAATGGGCTTCAATTTCTTTTCTTTTAATGGAACCTTCCCCTTCTCTCTTTTTAAAAAAGTGGAACCCTTTTTACAAATGAAATATTACAGGAAACTCCAATAGACAAAATTGAGCTGTTCCTGTGTGAAGTGATGCAAGGTGAGGTTTGAGGAGTAAGATAACGCAGAGCCTTGTAAACAAGGATAAGGTTTCAGAATAAAAATTTAGGTTTCATTCTGATATAATAGGGGAACTATTAAAAGGTTTTAGGTAGGGAAGTGACACAATCAGATCTAGCTGCTCTGCAAAGACTGGACCACAGTAGGACAACAGCAGAGGCAATGACACCATTAGAAGAGCATCACAACAGTCCTAGCAACAGATAGTTTCCTTGGACAAGAGTGACAGAAGTGGAGATGGTTTTCAGGTATATTTACATGATACAGCAAGAGAAGTTAATGACTAATAGGGATGTCTTGGGTGAGAGAGAAGAGAGGGAATTGTCAAGAAGATGCTCTGGTTTGAGAAACAGGGTAGAGGCTGGTGCCATTTATCAAGAAAAGGGAACAATGGAAGAAGAGTGGATTTTGAGGGTAAAACGATAGGGTCAGTAGGCATCTGCGTGTTAATCAAATGGGGATATCCAGAGGACAGGTGGACATTCAGATCTGGAACTTGGGAAATATATCTGGGCTGAAGATAGGAGTCTGGAAATCATCAACATAAACTTGGAAACCAAAGCCATAGGAATGGATGAGATTTTTCCAAGTCTCTAGGGCAAGAAGGCCTAAAACACAGGAGGGACACTGATTCAGTTGGGATTCTCTGACTGTTAGCAACAAAAATGAACCCTGGCTACAGGGCCTCTGCATGTGGTTCTACAGGGGATACCTTGCAGCCGTATCTAACACCAGCCAATATAATTTATTGGAAAAACATGAAGCAGTTCACAAAAATTAGAGCAGCTTAACATTCAAGAAAATCAGGAACTTGGGCAACTGAGGAAATCTCAGTAACAGGAACTCATATGCCTCTTACACATCATCTTCTGGTAGCTTGGGAGAGGGTTGGCTTCCCAAAGCAAACGTGAGGTGCTGTTCTCAAAGGAAGAGGAAAAAAGACACTGGGTAGGCAATTGCAGCTGTCTACTATGTTCTACCCCTTGGCTGCCCAGTAGATGCATTCTTCAACATGAACAATTTTATAAATGCCTCCTCCATTAAACATACTGTAGAAAATGGATTCATCTTTTCCCCAAGGAAGATAACCTAAAATATCTTCCAGTTATCACAGTGTCAAGTCTAAGATTTCTGGGTGATATTCATCCTCCTGTAGTTCTTAATGCTATCTTGATCATCTACAACTTATGATTTACTGGTATATTTAACCATCACCAATGCACCCATATACATTAGTGAGAGGACACTGCCAGCAGAATGGCTCAGTTCCAATCAAGGAGAGGTCTGATTGGACTAACTTGGATCATGCTCAAACTTCAGCCAGGAGGCATGAGGAGAAAAGTGAAATGGAGAAAAAAGGAGAGGGGGATAAGACAAAAAGGCAAGCTAGGAGCTACGGGTGGAGGCTATAGATTTTATTTCTACAAGTCACAGGGCTGTAGCTGGTACTTATCTTTTCCTCCTTCACTATACACTCTCTATTTTTTCTTCACTTAAGGGCTTTTGACTAAGGGAAGACCCAAACTTTCATTCCTGAGACATGGGGGTCAGGATTTTCCAAGTCTTTTGAATCCTCCCAGATATAAATACTCTGTTGTCAGTCTCTTTTCTGATTAATGCCTTAACTCTCACAAGAGATCTTAGTAATGCTGCAAATTCAACCAGCATTGTAATTTTCTAATTTGTGGAATCAATCTTCAAGTTCTAGTTTGGAATTAAGCACAAAGAGATTCATTCATCCTGGACACAGAAAGGTCCTGGATTGTATTTCATGCCTACAGATTAAGTTCCTGGATTTGAGCTTCGTTCTCTCATAAATTATCCAATGTAATCCAAGTGATCATCCTAATTTAATGATCTTGGCCTTCTTTATCCACTTCCAACTACCTAATTTCAAAAGCTACCTGGTTATCCAAATTTTGCCCTCAATAGGCATGTGATTCTAAATGACAAGGGAGAGTATCTTTACTAGCTGTTTTGCCACTATAAATTGCTCAATTCCCTACCCTAGGACATAGAGCAAGAGTTGTTGCTGCCTGTAATTCACTCTCAGTGCAAGAATCAATTCCAGATCCTCCATGTTACTGAGGGTCCAAAGCCTACTATTTAACTGTTAAAGATTTCTGTAATCATTGTCATTTGGTTGCAAGCAACGGAACTTTTTATTTGGCTGACAAATTAAAAGGGAACATTATTATAAGGAGGATATATGGTAGTCTACAGAATCAAAAGAAAATCTGGATGACCAAGCCTTGACAAGAGGAACCAGAGCACCTCTGGGGACGTCCTTGCACCAACTCTTATATGGTTTCCTTGGGACACTACCATCACATTGACTCAGCTCCTACAATTTTGCTACCTCTGTTAAGACTCGAAGCTCTGGTGGGAGGGGATTTTTGATTGGACAAGCTTGGATCACATGATCAAACCTCAGCCAAGGGCGTAAGAGGCCAGAATATTGTAATTTACCATTCTACTAAAACCACAGAATGGGAAAGAGTTGCATTCCACAGGAAAAGTGGGGATCTATCATGAAAGGAAAGGGGAAATGATTTGGGAGAGGCAAGATCGATGAATGTCCACTAAACCAATACTAAAATGATGGGGAGAAGAAAAGAACCTATAACGCAGCAATAGCCAGGAAGAAAATTGGAAGTGTCACAGCATCTAAGAGAAGAGAACGGCAAGATGCTGGCTGGAGTTGTCTGCACTGCTTAAAGTTCAGATAAGATGTAATGGACTTAGCAATGAAAAGGTCATTATCGACCCTGCTTGAAGTGAGATCAGAACACTCAAGGATTTAACTTTTTCCTTCTGTCTACTGTGAACACTCCAATAGAGGTCTGAATAGATTAACATCAGTTGAGAACTGGAATAATAATCGATGAACATTGAAACTATGAAGTCCTGATAATTCAAAGACACTCACGACATTTAAAGAGAGATGTTTGAAAAATTAAGAAAATTACTGAGCTTTGAGTTCCTCAAACAAATAAAGGTGCAACAATCTGTCAGTTTGAGTAAAGGATGATGAACATGTTTATCAAAATATTCACTAATATAAAGACAAGTATTTTAAATTATTTCACAAAACAGGCTCAGTGTCAAGTAACTTGCCAAGGTCAAACAGTAAGGACTAAATTTAATTTTTAAAATTCTTTATTTTTAAATAAAGTTTAAAAGTAATGTGAGTAGTGTAAAATATTCAAATACAGAAATGTATAAAGTTGAAAATCTCATGTAATCTACACTGTTCAAAGAAAGCCATTAATAGACTTTTCTATGCATTATAAACATAAATATGCACATTTTTAAATGAGTTCATACATTTTCCTGTCAATAGTTTGTTTCACTTAATATATTATGGCCATTTTTCCATGTCTACACACAATAAATTTACTTCATCCATTTTAACAGACACCTAGATTTTCTTTTATGGCTGAACCATGTGTTATTTAACCAATCCTTTTGATAAACTTTTAAGTTTTCTTCTACATTTTTCTACCATGTAATTTTCATACTTCTGTAGTAACTTGAATATTGTCAGTTCCTGTCTCATTTTGCGTTCCGATTTGGAAGATAATTTCAGTATGGCCATAAGCTCTAATTTAATAAATACTTGGATCTGTCAAGTTTCGATATTGGTAGATACTGTATCAGGTAGGACTCAATTTCAAGCAAGAGAAACCCAACTCAAAGTAACTTAAGCAAAACAGGGTATTTATTGGTTCACATAACTGAAAAGTCCAGGGGATATACTAGCTTCAGGCACGGTTGGATCCAGGGGCACAAACTTTGTTATCAGGACTCAAGTCTCTCCATCATTTGGCTCTGCTTTCTTCTGCACTGGCACTTTCTGACTGGCTCATTTGATATGGTGGGCCCTGGTGGTTTGAGTTTTTCATCTTACAAAGCTAAGCGACTTCAATAAAGAGAGCTTCTGAGCTTCTCCTCCTCCACAGTTCAGTAAAATTCCTGGGCTTCAGTATCACTAGACCAACTTGAATCACATGAACATTCCTGAACCAATCACTACAGTCAAGGAGATGGACTATGCTGATGGATCAGGTCTGAACCATGTGGACTGAAAACAGGTAAATATGGTTCCAAGAAACATCAGGGAGTTGTTACAAAGAGATGGAATGGATGCTGGTCAATCAAAAACAACTCCTGCCAATGATAAGACCAGATAACGCAAAAGTTTAATCTCTGGTCATAAAGTTGATGCTAACATTGTTACTTCCTCGATAATACTCTGGAAGAACATCATGAGGAGTAAGTTTGTCCTGTTCACAGGAAGTTTGTAATCCATTTGAATGAAACAATCATGTTCAATAGCATACTCTGGATGATACAACAGAGTTTCAATATAAGTAAACTCAGTGGTCATGAGTCTGAAGGCCCAACTGTCTTGCTGACATAAAGCAGGATAACTAGCCTCCCACCAGTGAACAGTTCTGTGAGGCTATTCAAGTCAGTGGTAAATTTTAAGTTCAGTGGAAGAGTTTTCTTGTGTTAAGTCTTTTGCCAAGTTGAACTGGTACATTTCTGTGAGTGCTGATGAATCAGACTCATCTCTGTATTAGTGCACGAGAGAGGAATGGACAATGATTTCAATCTGCTGTACTCCTGCAGATCTGATCAAAGGGGTCCCAGGTGCTGAAAACAATCAAATACAGGTGTAGAGGCTTACTCTGCACTTAACAACAAGAAAAAGCTGTTGGTCAAGGATTACACAGAATGGTCCTTCCTGTTGTGAACATTAAGTCCTGGTAGGCTGAGGTGCAGGTTGCTTCTGTTCAAAATTCCTTGGTGGGCCTGGGTATAAGTTAGGCCAAGATCACTGGTAGTCTTCTCAAGCACAGTCAGTCTGTTTGCAGCAACATGTCCAAAAAGGCAGGCAAGGGCTGAATCAGGTAACCAGGCAAGTAGGGTACCATCAGCAGGGCCAGCCATACTATTAGCCAGACGTGATCTGGAAGAACAGGATGATGACTATTGAAGCTCTGTAAATCAGTTCTTATCCTGAGTACTCCAGGGTTAATCCACAGGCTTTACTCTGGATACATTTTTCTGATCTTAAAGGGCCAGTCAGGCACAGCAGCTTTCATTTTCCTGTTCATTTCCCCAGAGCTTTCAGCTCAGGAGACGGCTTTATCCTCAATTCAGACTTGAGGTTCTGTTTAGGAACCTATGCTACATCTGGGATTGATAAGGTTGGGAGAGCCAGGTTTATCAAGATTGGCCCTACTTTCTTTGGTAATCAAGTCTCCATCCTCTGTAACTCAGCCTATCTGTGAGAATCACCTTATATATAAGTCAAGGCCTCAGATTGGTTGACTGATGAGATCTGAGGCATGGAGATAGTAGGCAAGATACTAGGTTTGAGTTTCAGGCGTTTTGGTTTTTCAACCATCAACTCTTATACAGTGTTCATTAGACTCTAGAACAGACGATCATCCTCATTCTTAAGCCCCTCATTTTGACAGGATTAAAGGGAATGACTGGCAGTGTAGATGAATATCTTTTTCTGTAAAGTACAGAGAAAGAGAAAATTGAGCTGACGTTTTGAAGGTAGTAGAAAAACTTAGTTTGTAGATGATTTCTTCTTTACAAATAATAGTTGTATATACAAGCAGGCTAGTCATCAGATTTTTTATTTGTTGAGGGTGAACAGTCTAGAGTAAACAGACTTAGGCCTTGTTTGATGATTTGTAGACCCAGTCATGTAACCACCATAAGGATAAGAGACAAAGACATAAAGAAACCTTTCCCAACATTTAACCAGTGCATTTGTTAAAGTAGTTGAGGACAGCTGGCCCTTACGTTGACTGTGTAGTAAAGGAATGAGATTTCTTTCATGACACAAATCGAAGTCTACTTGTTTGATGTGATTTGGTCTGGGAGTTCATAAATGGAATCCTTCCTGCAGAAACAGATAAATTGTCTTAAAGCCTGAGAATATCTCACGGCAAGGAATGAAGTCAGCCACTGTGAATAAGTGTGAAACAACAGCACTGAGACAGATGAAATTCCATTAAAACATCCACAAGGACGAGGGACTGTGGTCTTGTGACATTAAGCAGCAGCAGCAGGAAGCTCTTGAGTCTACTGATAATACTTAGCTGCAAGCTTTGTAGACTTTTTTTCAAGTCATTCTACATTTCCACCAAAAAGGTAGATGATATGCAATTTGAGATGCCAAGCAAGTCAGTCATCATGGCCTGGCCAACAGGCCTACCTCCAAATATCCCTAACATCTATACTTGATAGTACCAGACATCAAAAGATCTATCTTAAAAGAACATCCCTTGTGGGCTAGAAGAAAATTTTCCAAACAGCCACATTTTAAATTACACCCAAGTAAGGATATTCAAAGATTGTCTCTTGTGGATCGGGGTTACATGCAGTTAGAGCTGAGTATTCATAATTTTTGGAACAGAACAGGCAGAAATGCCAGTGATGGAGAAATTGTTTTAACTTTTTTTTTTAAGGTTATTAGCTCATTTATCTTGGAAACAGCAGTTAAACTGAATAAAAACCAAGGAGCAGTGTAACTGCCACTGGTTGAGTCACAGTGACTTGTAGTTTAAGATGAATGATAACCAGGTACCCTTTTAGGTAACGTTGCCAGTATCTGAATTTTGCTTTCATAGTTAATGGTTATCCCTTGCACACGAAGTACAGTACCATGGCCGATGACGGGAGGTTCAACGTACAAGTTGGTCTAATATGGCCTCAATGAGGCATCAACTTCAATATCAGCTTCAATACCTGGCAATTCAGGTATCTAAGGAGGATCAAGACTTCCAAGTCATGTATTTCAAGTACCACTAGAACATCTGGTGTGTGTGAAAGAAGTTGGGTAAAGGGGTTTGTCAGTGTAGAGTACATATGAATTGTTCTCTGGTTCTATCCAATTCCAGGAATGAGTGGAAGTCCATCTAGGGCAGAGGGCTGTTAATCTAGGTCCATCTGATACCACTTTCAGCCCATATGACTCTGGGGGGCAAAGACACGCCCATCTTCTTGGCCTTTTCTGAGTTGGCTCATAGTTAGTATCCCTTAGAATGTTCGGCAACAACTGAACTTGGACTGTTTCGGCAGAGGTATAGATGAAAATGTCATTCAGGTCGAACATATTGCTGTCTAGGGCAGTGGTTTTCAAACTGTGTTCTGCAGAATTCTAGCTGTTGTAAAGAAGTCTCCTTAGGTGTCACCATGGTGGTAAAAGAAGATGCTTGTGGCAGGTTTCAGGCCCCCTACTCCTGCTTCATCCAGAGCAGCTTCACTCTTACTCTGGGCTTCCACACAGTTTTCATTCAAAGGGCTTCACGGCCACAAAGCCTTTGGAAAACCAATGATCTAAGAATAAGGTGTTCACAAAATGCTGAAATACAAAAAATAGGTCACAGAAACCAGAAACTGTGTGAGCAAAGCCGTGGTAAGCCAAGGTGTTTTCCTATTCATTCTTTCCCTTATGTGGGCCACATTACAGAATGATGAAGTTAACATTCAGGTCTGCTATAAATTCTGATTGCCTGAAATTGAGCTTGTAAGTGACTATCATAGAACAAGACTATTGGTCTTAAGTGACAATAGCACTGGGGTTTTTAGTCAGCATACAGCTGCAAAATGCCTTCATTTCTTTGTAAATATTATTCCAAGAAGTCCATAGCATAGCTGGATGACTTCTCTTCAAGCACTGATAAGATCTCAATGGGCCACAACTCAAATTCTAAGAAAAAGTATCTGCTTCTCACCCCTCCTCCCCCTTTTCTCCATCCTTTTCCTCCTCCCTTCCCTTCCCAATCTCCTCACCCACCTGAGATGCAATGCCCTTGAACTAGGCTTACAGCACAATTCTAGTGACAGAGAAATATATCACTAAATGTCATGGAATTCAATTTGGGGACAGAATGAACTCTCCCCCATTTCCCTCCCATGTATCCCCACAAATCTTCTACAGGTTCCTCTGTCAGAAAATAAATGTAATGGTCAAGAAGCAGGACTCTCAGATGATGGAGATACACCAATTCAAATAGTTATTGACAAAGTAAGAAAAAGGGGGTTTCAAAGATCCTGTTTATTCCTGGGTCTCCAGGGCAATCTGTCGGCAGTCAAAGAACTAGCCATATGCTCTAGAGCAGTTTCCCCATTCCATTCAAAGGAATGCTGTAAAGATAACATTCTGTGCTTGACTAAACTTAGGACACACTGGGCTAAACAGCGAAAATGAGGCTCTTTGCTGCAAGCCTTCTGGGATCCTTTAATATACTACACTGCACTATGAATCAGGGAACAGGATATGTTTTACAGTATTTTACCACCTTAACTGACTAAAAAAGCTCTCTCTCTATGATATATATGTGTCATATGCACACACACACATATATATGAACAGTACTGCTCTAAAAAATCGATGGCTCATTTTTTGTAAATACTAGTTTGGGCACAGAGGATCACAGATAAGATCTTGGTGTTCAAGAATATTAATAAGACTAAAAAGAAAACAAAAAGGGACAACATACGAACGGGGATCCCCAATCAGTTAGGCCATCTTTGGGAAGACCATGAAGATGGATGAAAGGTCTAAAAGCAGCTTTGTGTTTCATGCTGGGTAGTCTTTTGTCAGATGATCATGTGCCTCGTTGACTGGACCGTCTACCACCAAGGAGACAGTCTGCTTCTAAACAGGGGTATTGTCATGGGATTCTGGTCTAGGAGCAGCTATCGCATTACATTTATGACATCCTGACTGAGTGAGGGCACCAGACCAGGAAGTTAGAAACTCTTCTCAGGTTCCCAACCTCCAGTCATTTCAACACTGCAGGTAAAGTAGAGGCTAAGTTAATTCCAAGGAGAGAACTGGACTAGGAGTCAGAAGGCCTGGCCTCTATCACTCTGTAGCTGTGTCACCTCTGATAACCTTTTAAATTTCCGTTTCCTCATTTGCAAAAAGGGATTATAATTTATGTTATTTTGATAATTAAGATTAATGCATGTAAAAGTGCTTTGAAACTGTAAAGTGCTCAATAAACATAAGGGATTGCCACATAGGTTCTACCTGGATGTATCAAGAGGCCTTTTCTGGCATCTGATTGGAGCTGTGTGAGATGCTGTTAGGCAAAGGGATTCCTTGGTAGAATTTCTTACATTTGTGTGAAAAGTTCTGGTTCCTGAGTAATCCCAAAGAAGATGCTATGAGGAGTTCATTGTGCCCGTTTTAATCCCAATGGGTCATAATATCTGCTTTCTCATTCAGTAGGCTACTACAGATTTGAAGCAAAAGGGACAGAGTCCAGTGATCTCAATGGGATCCTAGACACTTCATGAACTTCAATCATTTGAGATTATGGGGTGTGGTCCAATGTTGTTCTCAAAAAGATGTTGCCATGCTTCAGACAGTGTTGATAACTAAAAGTCCCCTGGTCCAAATTTATCATGTGTCTCTGAAGGCTCGAACCGAAGAAACGAAATGCACACTCATGGAACAAACTGGGCCTTTGTCGTGATAAAACAACTTCAGCTATTTGGCTTGAAGAGTTTGACTTTACTATAAAGGGCTGTGCTGAATCTGGGTAGAACAGGACAGGAGTGGAGGTAAAGGCCACATCATGATGGCTGAATGCCTCTTGGGTCACAGTGTCCACTGGAATGATGTCTTCTTCAGTAGTAAGGTGGTAGCAATCACCATGGGCAAAAATCCAGGTACCACATCTGTAGGCTGACGGAAGAGCACAAGGAAGGTGGTCAGAAGATCCAGGTGAACACTCAGCAATCAGGAGGCACAGGACTGAAAGGGACAGGGACAAAACAGATAAGATAACAAATGCATGGAATTACAAACACAAGACTAACACTGGGGTCCATCTGCTGTTAGCACATCAGCTACCTGATGGATACTAATTCTTTACAAGCCTGGCTTAGAAGCTGACAGATGATAAATGGGGGGGAAAAAAGCGCCTTATGATTAACAATTAGTGATAAGAACAGAAAGAGTTCACTGGCAAAGACTGTTTCCTGACTCTTGAGAACAAACTGTCTCAGGCAAGCAGCAAAAAGGAACGGTCCTGGGTCTCATACTTTGGGGGAGTAATTTGATTGCATTCAGGCTGCAGGACAGTGGCTGGTGGGGGAGAAAGAAGTGGCTCCACATGTGGCCACAAGAAGAACTGAATTTAAGTGTATATATCAACACAAAAGCAAAGCAGCTATTTCCCTTCTTCCTTTTCCAATGCCTTCGTCAAACTGTCGTATGACCTTGTACTTTTAAAAAAGCTGCCCTGAACTTTCATTTTAACAAGATTCCATCTTGAGTGGGGGAGAACAAGGTACACAGGGAATAAGGCCCTGGTCCTTGCACTCTTCTGTAGTACCATATGCAACATTTCAGCTTCTCTTTATGTTTGAGAGCACCCTTCATCTTTTAAAATTTAGAATTAAAAAATAATAAAAACATGAACTAAAGGAAGAAACATGGCCGCTAACTAGTGACTTTTCTCCTAATCGAGTTAATTAGGTTATCACACAGCAATTACACAATTACTGAGTACTTATTCTGAGTTGGTCTGTTCTCTAAATTCCTCTTTTCTATTAAATGCTCCATTGTATGTGGCAGTACATGTGGGCAAAGATTTGCAAGACAAGGCCCTTGCTTTCATGGGGCTCGCTATCTGGAAAGAGAGGAAATGCATGCAAATAACTCCAGTCATGCGCTGCATGACCTTTCCATCAATGATGAACCATATATACAATGGTGGTCCCTAAGATTACTATCACGTAGCACAGGTATACAGCAGGCTATACCATCTAGGTTTGTGAGAGTACACTCTATGATGTTCACACAACAACCAAATCGTCCCACAATGCCTTTCTGAGAATGTATCCCTGTTGTTAAGCAAAGCATGACTGTACTTTACAAGATATCGCGAAGACAGATAAAAAGATATATAACGTGTTATAAAATTTAAAAAAGATTATTTCTAACTAAAGCTAAGAGAATCACGGAGAAGACAGCATCTGAGTTGGATATTAAGGAAATGGCAGAGTTTTGACAGGAGAACAACCAGAGGACAGTATTTCAGGGTAGAGAAGAGAGCAAGAACAAAAGGGCAGAGATGGTAAAGAAGGCGGCATTTTGGAAAATGGCAAATACCGTAGCTCACTTTGGATGGAGTGCTGCCAGAGTTTGCACCAAGGGTCTGGCAGCAACTCAGGTGTTCGAATTCCCAGAAACAGCGCTGGTGGCAGTGCTTGCTCAGTCATCTCTTCTCAAAGCAAGGTCAACAGTCTCAAAATTCAAAAATAAAACTATCCAGTTCCAGAGTTCCTGCCACATCCTGATAAGCTCTTCCAGGTCTCAGGTCCAGTTCTTGAAAATCCAGAATCCACGCCGTGGCTACACTGAAAGACATCTGCTCCAGCTAGTGCAGAACACTGTAGTGAAATCCTTTCAACCTCCTATCCTGGACATCTCACGTTCTGTCACAGAATTTCAAGCTTAAGTTCCAGTTGTTTTTTTCCTCCTCTCTCTCTCCTGAGGAAAGCATCTTATCACCACAGTCTTTAAGATTCTTTTGAGGTACCTCCAGAATTACAAAAGAACTAAAAGAACAACACATTTTTCTCCAAAACAGTCATTTCTCTGGAAGTGAGATCATCTGTCTCTGCCCTTTAGACAAAGGGAATAGTCAATCGATTTTTTCAGACATCTGTATGAAACAGCAGAACTGGTAACACCTAACCAGACAAAATACACTGAAATGTGTTTGTGTTCACTTGCTTAGAGCTGTACCACTGGTAAGCACCACTCCACAACACGAAAATGTTTGAAATCCAACTGTTCAAACATTTCTATAGTGTTTGCTGGATAATGGCCTGGAATTTGATAAAAGCAGCTGATAATTAACAAAGAAGCAAAAACTGGCATTTTGGCCATCTTAGTAACACACTTGCAAGCAAATAGAAGAGAAAGCAGGCCAGGAAAAAGTTAAGCTTTGAAATATTCCCAAATCTACTGATTTTGAGGTTCAGAGGTTCTAACAAAACTTTTCAGAGAATGTTAACTTTCACTTAATAAAGAAAAACCCCCAAACATCTTCAGTAATTCCACGCCTGGTTCAGTCTGTTCCAGGGAGCCAGCCTGCTAAAAATCCACCTGCACCATTAATTACGTGGACTGGGCAGCACCATTTAAAAATAAGCCTGCTCACTACCAACCACAGATTAGGGATAGAAAATAGGAGCAAGTAACGGATAGCAACTATACTCGTGGAAAATGGTCAATGAAAGTCAGAAAGGTAGTCAGGCACCAGTAAAAGCAGCAGAAAACACAGAGTTGTCGGGCCAGATTAAATAGGCTTCTTGATACCCGAAAACACATCCACTCCTGGTTTTAGCTGCTTTATATTGGGTGCCATTGTACCACATGTATCAGCCACCCTTCAGGCACCCCATGGTGAAAAGACAAGACTCAGAATAGAAGCCAAACAGCGGAGTGTCATTACCCCGAATATCCATTATGCATAGAAACAGCTCACATATCCCAGGGATTCAAACAGGGGCTTCAAATTGGTTGTGAAGGGTCCCAAATGACATCTAGGCCTCAGTTTCCTCCCTGTAGCATAAAGGAATTGTGGTTCTTAACTCTTCTGGGTCACAGAAGCGATGGATCCTTATTCCCCTAAAACACACATTCCCACTAATTTCTGCATACAATTTCGGGGAGTTTGGGGATCCCAACTCCAATCCAAGGTTCCCAGGTTCAAAATCCAAGGACTGGGCAATTGCTAAGTTTTCTCGTAACTAACAACAACCATTACAAACAATAATCATCCCTTACGAACACGGATGCTTTATAGTTTACAAAGCGCTTTCAATCCCACAAACATGGACAGGCATAGGAGGAAACTGAGGCGCAGAAAATTAGAGTGACTTGCCTAAGGTCACTCGGCCAGCTGGTGGCTAGGCCCGGAAGCAAACCCAGCTCTTCCGACTCCGGGGCTTGTCTCCCTACCCCGGAGCTGCCGCCAAAGCTCCTGCCCCTCACTAAGGCGGCATGAGGAGAAAAAGGCAAAGTAGAAAGCCCACCACCAACCATCCCCCAGCCCCCTCTTGCCCCCCCAACTGGGTCCTTGCAGGCCCCGAAGGGTGGCGCCAGGCCTCCAGGCCGGCCCCGGCCACCCCCGCCTCCCCGGCCGCGCCAAATCCCGCCGCCGCCGCCGCCGCCGCCTCCCCGGGAGCGGGGCGGAGCAGCTGCCCGCCGCCGCCGACCACCCGGACGACTCCTCGTCGAATCGCAAACGCATAGGCCGCCGCCCGAGTTCTGCGTACGAGAAGAAAGACGCGGCGCGAGCGCCAACGGCCACCGGGCGCGCGCCGCGGCGGCCGGGCCTGCGCCCCAAGAGCTGGATGCCAGAGCAGGAGAAAGAGCCGCCAACCGATCGCTCGATCGACCGCGCGCCCGCTCCTTCGCCCTACCAGACCGGGAAGGGGGGGAGGGCGCGCCAGGGCTTCTTCGAGTTAGGGGCCTGACTCCCCGGCGACGAGACAAGATGGCTCCTCCGGTCTGCGCCGCAGCTACCGTCCCGGCTGCGTCGCTCGGCCCGCCCCCGGTACTGTTTCTTTAAATGGCGGAGAGGGTCAGGAAAGCAGGAAGAGAGGCGCGCGCGCGCTCACGTGACAGGGGCGGGCCCGGCTAACAAGATCCGGTCACGTGGAGACACGCTACTCACCAATCAAGAGGCGTCGCATTAGGGCGGGGGCGGGAGGAGCTGCGGCTCTGTGATTGGTCGAAGGCGCCGCGGAGGCCTCGGGGGCTTGGGGCGTCGGGGAGTGCGCGAGGCGGCCCGGGTTGTGTGCACCAGCGGAGACAAAGCGGTGGCTGAGGTGGCGGCAGCGGCTGCGGCAGCGGCAGCGGCGGCGGAGCAGTCCTAAACGCCGAATTTCGTGGTGCAGAGTCCCGTCATCCTCTGATCCAGCGCGGCGCGCGGGCGGCTGGTTTCGCGGCGGCGGCGTCTGCGGCGGCGGCAGCGGCGGCGGCAGCACATGGTTCCAAGAGCGCGCTGCGGTTGTTGGGTTCCAATTCCGTGGGGAGGGACAAAGGCAGTTGCGAGCGCCGGGCAACGCCCGGTCGGGTGGTGAGCTCGCCACTGCCTTGGATCCTGGCCTTGAAAGCTGGGACTTTCTCCTGTGTGTGAGGTGGCGGCCACGGACCGAGGCCGGGGAAGGGCCTGAGAGGCTGAGTCCGCCGTCTGAGGGAGGTGGGGGAGGGGCGCGGCCCGCCCGAGGCGATTTGGGCGGGTCGGTTCTGAGGCATTTTAGCGGGTCATTGTGAGGTAATTTGACCCCCTCCTGTGAGGAGGCTGGGGCGGGACGGCAAGCTAGGTTTTGCCTGCGTTTTGAACACAGAAATCGGCCTCAGTGTTTAGGAGATCTCTCGGTTGGGAGGTGGTGAATCCGGAACTAAACGCCATATGCGCTGCGTCGACATCGTTGTCACCAGTCTGGGGCCCTTTTAAGGATCCTGCGATCATTGGTGGCGAAGAAATGGGTGATTGTCCAGTTTTGTGACAGAAGTTGATAAATTTCCAGATTGGTAAATTTCCTCACGGAAATTTAAAGGAACAACAACAGGAAAAGACGCGAAGATCTTGAAGATGGAGCAGTAATAAAACGGCCAACTCCAGAACCATCTACTCCAAGACCATCCACATTCGACTCCTTGAACTATCGCAATTTAAACGCTAAAGCTCCGTAAGACTACAGGCTTAGGACGTAGTTCTTTCCGAAATACTACATCATAGTCATTGAGAAGATAAAATATTCAAAGGAGAAATCAGTTGTAGGTTTAGACAGCTCTTTGAATATATTTTGGATAGGTGCTAGGTAACCTTGTTTAACTCTAGGGAGCACAGACTTACCAAACCTTTACTGGAAGGAATCCTGGAAAATCTATTCCATTGTAAGGTTTCATTTCCCAGTTAGTGGGTAAAGGACTTGGAGACCTCCCTGCACTCATGGCTTTCACAAATTACAGCAGTCTGAATCGAGCTCAGCTAACCTTTGAATATCTGCACACAAATTCGTAAGTATCTGATAGGTGCTACTGAGGTCACTGATAATGGATTTCGATGAATATGGAAATCCTTTCCCCAGAAAATTTTGCTTTTTTTACTTTTTGGGATATATCCCTGCATGAGTCTCGAGCTCTTGTGTTGAAGAACTGAGATCAGTGAAATATTTGTTGCTAATCCTGAAGAATATGATCTTCACTTACTGGCTCAAAATTTATTTGATCAAACACAAACTAGGTATTCGAAGTCAATATATTGAGTTTCATTCAGGTGTTTGATAGGAATCCAACACGTACTGTTCTTTGGATTGCCAGAGTTGGACAGTTCTAGCATCAACTCTTTCTCATTTTTAGTGACAACAGCCCAAACGGTTGGGTTATAGCAAGTCTTTTCTTTATAACAAGAAAAAAAAAAGAATGAAGACATTTAATTGACAACTTGTGAGAAGAAATTAGTGATTTTTTTTTTTTTTTAATTTCAGCAACAGTTGGCTTTATCTTCCTGGGAAATTAGTCCCTAACGTCCTATATAGTTTGTATATGCTAAACAGGAAATGGCAACTTGTTTAACCCATGACTTAAATAGCTTTTTCCCAAAATGTGTGCAAGTTATAGAACGTATGCTGTGTTCATGGTTTTTCAGTTCATGGAGAGAATGACCATCTCTCCGCCTTGATCTGGAATGTTTCAGGGTTAATCCCTAGTTCCACTCTCTTGGAAGTAATCCAGTGGGGTCACAACTACTTAGTGTTTTTATACATTCCTTTGTTGCTTTTGAGATGAGAGTAAGTTTTCTACCGTTTTAGTACCTTTAGAAGTGATGAGCAACTTAATGAATGGCCCAGAGATCTGAAGAACCACCTTCAGGGTTTAGACTATAGATTTTAGTTAGCCAGTAATAGTGCAGTAAGTTTTAGCCTTTTATGGGAAAGGCCAACATGTTACTTGTGATAGTCTGTAATTTTTTGTTTGCTATTTTTCCTATGAAGGAAATAAAGAATTTCTGAGTAGTGAAGTGAATTGCCAAAGAATCGGAACCTGGTTTTATTTTGTTTTGTTTAGGACACTTCTTAACTGAACAAGAGCGTTTTACTGTAGAGGTCACCTAGGTGAATTCTCATGCTATGGATGGTGAATCTGAAATTCAGTTAGATAAGGTCGCTGGTCAAAGGTTACTCATCTAGTTGATCACATAGTCTTAGGCAGAGCCTTCAGTATCCTTTTTTATGTTTGGACCGCTACATTAAGAACAAGCAGTTGAAGTCCACTTAGATGTTCACAGATGATTGTGTTTGATAAATGGTTATCTCAGTTCTGAATTTTGGAATGAAGGGCCAAATTTGGAAAGACAGACTATATGATAATTTTGGAAGACCGTGAACCGAGACTTCAGAAACTGGGTTCTTGTTCCAGCTTCCCCAAAGACTGTCTTTGATGGTGAAATACAAGCATACCTCGTTTTACTGTGCTTTGCTTTATTGCACTTCACAGATAACTATGTTTTTTACAAGAACCTCCACGAATAAAAAGATATGACTCACCGAAGGCTCATGATGGTTAGCACTTGTGAGCAATAAAATATTTTTTAGTTAAAGTACGTACGTTATTTTTGTGGACGTAATGCTGTTGCACACTTAATAGACTACAGTATATTTTAAACATAACTTTTATGTACACTGGGAAACCAAAAAGTTTGTGTGACTCGCTTTATTGCGATATTTGCTTCATTGCAGTGGTCTGGAACCAAACCTGCAATATCCCTGAGGTAGGCTTGTAATAGTAACAGCAGTTAACTGCTTCATGTTAGTCACTGTTTTAAACATGGTTGAAAGTATTCTTTATAGTAATCCTGCTGCAAGAAGGCTTACTTCTATTTTGCATTTGAGGAAACTGAGGCTCGGAGAGATTAAGTTATATGCCAAAGGTTACACAGCTGTTAAGTGGCAGATTTAAGGCAATAAGATCTGGTCACAATGGTTAGTACTTTTAACGATTAGGCAGTACTGACTCTAGTTAGTTTTACCTTTAAAAGCTTGTCTCCTTGTCTGTAAAGCAAGCGTTTACTTCCAACATTAAAAGTCTTCAATTTTAGTTTATCTTGTTGAGCCTGTAATTTGAGGATTTTCAGATATTTCTTTGCTTATTTCTTCTGCTACTTTATTAGGAGTAGGTGGACAGAGCCAAGGCAAAGAATCGAACCTCAGTGAAGTCACTTGTTTAAAGTGAAAGTGGAGAATTTTCTGTGAATTTGACTTACCATGTTGAACTGGAATCACCTCCTTGTACGAACATTTGAGGGTTGGATGTATCATTTTGGAAGCTCTGGAATTTTTTAGCTGGATCACACCTTTGAAGTTGTCTACTTTTGAATGTGTACGGTCCTGCCAGAAGAAAATGCACACCCTAGAACACCAAGAAAAGTTTTTGGTTTGTAGCCAGTCTCAAGAGATTTTTTTTTTATTGTGGTAACCTGACGGGAAGTTCATTTCTAGAGGAAACAAATTTTTAAATTTTCGTTAGATATGACTTGTTACTCCTAACGATGGTAGATGTATCTCATCTTGTCAAGTGGTACAATGTCACCTTCAGAGAAGGGAAGATTTGTCTTACAGTACCTTCTCCTTTGTTCTAATTTTAAAAACAAGACCATGTTAGGGTGTCTGACATTTACAGTATTGCCACATTGTGAATTATGAAAGAAATGACACTTTGCCTACCTGCCATTTCATGTAGACTTGCAAACAGAGCCAGGCTACAAGGGTGGAAATCAGTGTGGTGCAGTGGAAGGAGCATGGGCTTGAGAGCCAGCCAGGCTTGGATTTGACTGCTTCCTGGTTGTGTCCTTGGGCAGGTCAACTTCTCTGAGCCTCAGTTTCTTTATCTATAAGATGGGGCTAATCTGAGAGTGATTATGAGGATTTTGTAAAATAGTGTTTATAAAATAATTAGCTCATACCTGGTACGTAGTAAACATTTACTAGATGGCGAGTATTATTTGTTCTGTTCGTAATATTAGCTTAAAGAAACCAAAAGTTGATCAGTGTGTGTACCAAACCTGCTGTTTGGTGCTAGTCATTAGATAAATTCTTAGTGAATTCTGGAACATTTGTTGGAGATGATAAACATCTGTCTTGAGTTTTTTTGGCTATTAACTACGATAACTATTGATGGTTATTCTCTTGGTTACAACAAAGTTAAGGTTTAAAGGAAACCTGGGAAATTCTCATTGTAACATGAGTCTTAGGCTAATTTCTTTTAATACTGGATGTTGCTAGTAGGAGATGATAAAAATTAGTGTTTTTTAATAAAAGGAGCTTTACGCTGTTACTGCTCTTTGGTGGTGGCTTCAGTGACTGCGAGTAAGAAGTTGATGAGAAATCTAGGTGCTAGATTCCAGATGTAGTGGTGGTAGTAATGTTCCTTTGGCTTAAGATGTATATCTTAAGGCACTCCACAGACCTGCTAAGTGTTCTGATACAGCAGGATGCTTCAGCCAGGATGCCTGCTTTCTATGTCTATTCCTGTTGGCACATTTACTAACTTATCATCTTGGCCATGTGATATT